TAATTTGAACATTGGGTTCCTTTTTGTACCCCCGTGTGCTTCCACTCCTTCAATCTGGACTGTTGTGAAGGGTTTAGGAAAGAGACTCTCGGTTAAACTTACTGGGTACGACAACACTATACCCGGTTGGTTTCGAATTAAGACGTTTGGCTTTGGGAGCTACAGCCTCGTGTTCTGTCCTAATCGTGGTACATGTGGCTACGTCGGAATTGATAACAAGAGGCGATTCGTGGTGACTAAGACTGAGGAGAGACGCTTACCGATTCTGTTTAAGAGACTTTCAGATGCATCAACTGCAACTGCAACTGCAACTGCAACTGCATGAACCACCGCTGTGTCGGAAAAGTCATGTGTGGTTTCTCGAAGTGAGAGAAAAGTGAAATATGTAAGCACTAAATAGATGCTTAGTTTGTTGTAATAAAATTAACGCATGACTAAATAAAATAATTAAAGCTTATATTTCCCCATAGAGTATTATATTTGTTAGAGGTTTATGGGACTCTCTTCCAACATGAATCTTGACCCGCATGGAAAGAGAGCGAGAAACTAGAGTCGAGTTAAGGATAGGATCCCATATTTAATTATAACGAATGATTGAGAAGGGCATTTCTGAAAACACTATAACCATATTCATCAATTGAATAATATATTATTAATAAATAATAAATAAATATAAAAAATAAAAGATTAAATTTATAAATATGTAAATTTAGAGATTATAAAACATATATAAATTATAAAACTTTAGAACATCGTACCTCTCACAAGTTCCGACTTTAAATATTAAGTTGGTCGATATTCATTGTGTAAGAGGTAAATAAATACGAAAGATGTGTAGTTTCGTTGGGTCAAGATAAGGATAGGGTTGAGTCTAAGTTTATAATAAATGAAAAACTTGGAAAAACACTTTGACATTCAACTTGGTCCTTACTCATAATATCAAAGAGGATTTTAGTATATGAATGAAATTTGTCACATAATTGTTTTGTGACAGAGACTAAAGTTGTCTCAAAATTTTAAGCGAGGCGTTGCTTTAAACCTACATTTGTTACTTAAGCAAATAAAACTTTAAAACGGTGTTTTAGGCTTTAAGCAATATATTATGATCAACATAAAAATAAAAAACATTAAATAATGTGTTTAAAATATATTGTTCAAAAGCATAAAAATTAAACAATATAATGTTTCCAAAATATATAAATGAGAGTGAATTAATGATCACTATCATTTTATTCTTTACTTTCTTATGAGTTAAACTTTAACGAACGGATTGACAACACTTTTCCAGTGATAGAATATGTGGTCGTGGGCATGGTTCAAAGGCAACAGTTTTATTTTTTTCCTAATACCATAATTTTTTTAAAAACCATTGTCTTAAATTGTTACTCTAGGCCACAATTTTTGCATTTAAACCATGGTTCTTTATTTGTTGCATTTTCATAGACAACTCTTTTTTTCAATTGTTATCATTGTGTTTAAGGTATACTTTTTAACTATTATCATTGCATTTAAGGTATATTTTTTTAATTATTGTTAGACAATTTAAAGTTATCTTTTATTTAATCATAATAGTTATTTAAATGTTATAATTGCTTTTTAAACATAATTCTTTAATGGTTTGCCTTTTGTTTATGCTGTTATTATTATTATTATTATTATTATTATTATTATTATTATTATTATTATTATTATTATAAAAATACAATGAGATTATTAATCATCATCCCTACATAAATCCAGCCCCAAGAAGTTTATGAAAACCAGATTTTTCCAAGTATAAGAAAAGCCTATGAACCAAATTTGTGTAAGGGTTCCAAATTTGTTTAATTAAGAACATAAGTAGAGACTATAAGAAAAAACACAATTAATTCGGTTGCAATTAGTGACTAATTTAGCGACTGAATTAATTTGATCACAATTAATGACCGATTTAGCAACCGATTTAATTCGGTCGCAATTAACGATCGATTTAATTCGATCGTAATTAGCGATCGATTTAATTCGATCGTAATTAGTGATTGATTTAATTCGATCGTAATTAGCGATCGATTTAATTCGATCGTAATTAGTGATCGATTTAATTCGATCACAATTAGCGACTGATTTAGAGACCGATTTAATTCAATCACAATTTAGCGACCGATTTTGTCACCGTAATATGATTTGATTTCATTTTTTATTTAGCGACCGAAATAGCGACCAATAGTTTGCATCACAAAATTTCGGTCACTAAATCGATGGTTATTCCATACTAAAATAAAAAATTTTATTTAACAACTGATTTAACGATCGAGTGACAAATTGAAATCGGTCATGAAATGAGAATATAGCGACCGAATTGAAATTGGTGGCTAATGAATATTATTTATTTATTATATTTAAATTTATTTGTTTATAAATATTCTTTAATTGCTTTAGTATATTTTTTACAATTTATTTTTTAAAAGTAATTTATTTTTTAAAAATAATTTATTTTTTAAAATATACTTTAAAAATAAACTTTATTCTCAATATTAATAAAATGAATATTAACTTTAATTTTAAATTACTAAAATAAAAATATTATTAAAAGTAAATTAAATTTATTAAAAATTTAAATTATAATAAATTAATTTAAATTTTAGGGACTGTTAGGTCTTGCCTAGTTCCTTTTAGTTTTAAACTTCTATGATGTATTAGACTAGATTGATCTATGGATCTTCTAGTTGTTACAAAAGTATTTTTACTCGGATTTCCTCTTAAAGAATTAACTCTTTTAATGGGTGCAAAGGATACTTCTACTATTCCTGATTTATATTCGAGTTATAGATTCTACTTCAAGTGGTTCTAGTAGATCTTCTAACTTTCAACTAAGACCACTAGATATTTCGAGTGTTTTAGGATTTTTGGTATTACTTGTGTTAACCTTTTCGGGATTAACTAATAATATAGTTGTTTCGTCTTTTGGAGACATTAATAAGGCTTTGGAACTAATTGAGTTTTCATTATTTTATAGTAAATTATGTACACTATAGTTATTGGTATTGACTTGGGATTCCATACGTTTTCTAGCATTTTTATATCTAGAATTATATTATTTTTTGTATAATAATAACTTTTAAGGGCTATTGAATAATTTGGATAATTATTTATGTATACTGATCTCGTTATGCAAATTTGTTTTAAACATGACTAATATTTGATTTTCTAATTTTACTACTCGAAAGATGGGTTTTATTGCTATTTGAATAGATCCTACATGGAGGTATCTATATTCTTTTATATGTTCTGCTATTAGAATTTTGTTATTAATGATATTTTTTCGTGATTTGATTGTAATTCAATTTCTTTATCTACTGTTTTTACTATATATTATGATTTGAATATGTCTTTCGAATTTATTTTATAGATGATAGATATTTCGTGTTTTGGAAGAGTCAATTTATTAAGTTGGTTTTCTATTTCTGGGATGATTAATTCATGGTGTATTATGTTTATATTACTGTTTTCTTCTTCTGCATTCTTATTTTTTTCTAACTTTTCTTTTCCTTTGGAAAGTAGTTTTATTAATCTCGTCATCATAAGACCAATATCTAAGATACTCGAGAATATCACAAGGTTTGTTGCCACTCTTTTGGACTTACAACCTACACCGGTTTACCAATGCTTGTCTACCCTAAAAAATTCTTAGACATGATTTGAATAATAAAATTTTCTTTTAGAAAAATCCAATTTTAAGAAAATATGAATTCAGAAAGAATAAACAGTTTAACCATAATATGTGGCTTTGTATTCATCATGTTAAATCACGGAATTGAACCTGAATCTTTATGATCTGAACTGACTTTATACATAGAAACCCAAAAAAAGAAATTGATTGTTCAGTATTCCAACCTATATACTTTAATTATCAGCATATATATATATATATATATATATATATATATATATATATATAACATCTTTTTTTTTACTTGAATGGGTTAGTGATAATTAATTACTGATTATACTATCACATATTTTGTTTCAAACTGTTGTAATCATGGTAGGTGGGATTTTATATTGCGTTTTCTGAATGGAGAGGTTGCTGCAATGACATTTGGATGTGCCAATGTATCAAAAAATACTTTGCTCACAAAACTGAAAATTTATTGGTTGACACCCATCATACAAGAACAACCAAAAATTTATTAATATAACAGGGTGATTTTTATATCTACACATAATCATTTAAAATTAGAAAACTCATTCTATTTTATTTAATAATTTTTATTTCTTTTATTATTACAGTTTTTTTTGCCTGTATTTCATTTTTTTTTAATATTTCTTCACAATATTTTACAATAAAAAATTAATTAATTTTTTTAATTATACTTTAAATTAATTTTAAAATATATTTAAAGATTTATTTTGAAATAATAATATAATTTATACTAAATTTAAATAAAATATAAATTTTATATTTAAATTATTTTAAACTAACATAAATATTTTAAAAATTATTAATAATATGAATAACGATCCAATAATTTATTGATCGATAGGAAAAATAATTAATTATGTGAACTCAAATAGTTTATTAAATATGAAAAAAATAAAAATTATTTAATTAAATAAATAAAATATTTATAATTTTTTAAATATTTATTTTAATTTAAAATTTTAAAATTATTAAAGAATATATTAAATATATATTTTATTTAGATATAAATTAAATTATGTTATGGATCAAAATAAATTCATGAATATATTAGAAATCAATGTGAAATATGATTTAAAAAATATATATTTTTGGATTATTGGTAAGAAATTGATTATAAAGAGAAATTAAAATGATAAGAATTATAATAATATTTGTGATGCAAGAATATGTCTTACTGATAATAAGATTAAGTTGGTGGAAATAGAGGAGAAGTTATTTATTAACTCTCCAAATACTTTATTACAGCCGAAGCATTTATTCAGTCTCACACAGAGTCTGAGTAGGAGAGAAAGCACGTGAGTTTTCAGGCCAGAGGCGCTCATGCGGTTGATGACCCAACTTTCTGAAACTGAACCAACAATGGATCGTTATCGGTGGCCACCAAACGCCTGTGTTGATTATGATCGATGTAAATCCCGATATCCCAACTATCGTCAATGGAGCGAAACACAAACTTATAGTCGTGGAATTCAAGGGAAGCCCTCTGAATCTCAAACCAACCGGGTACAGTATTGTTGTAGCCAGTGAGTTTAACAGCGAGTCCTTCTGGGAGACCCTGGACGAGGGTCCACACTGAAGGAGTGGGTAAACACAGTGGTCCAAAGAGGAACGCAACGTTCAGAATAAGGCCTTCCTCGATATAAAGGACTCGGATTGGGGATGAAATTACTACGGGTAGCCCCTTAGACACCTCAAAGGGAGATTGCACAACAGTGAGAGGGCATGTTTCGTTTCCTGTTCTGGCTCTTTCTAATCCACCACCATGTCCTCTTTTTACAGGCAACACATAGTAGATGCCACCGTTTCGAACAGCATCACCATCTGTGTCGAACACAAAATCAGCGGTGGCTGAAGGTAGGTGTGAGGTAACGGCACAAAGTAGAAAGAGAGCGAAGAAGGTAGTAGGAGTAGTGTTCATCTTCATTTCTTAAGGCCTGTGAAAGTTCAGTTGTGTGAACAAGGAACGTTAAGATTCTATTTATAGAGTGCGGGTGAACCAAAATACGTTGAACGTAGACCATTAAACTAAAATATTGATTTGATATTGTGACAATACATCTTACTATGTAGTATTAATTATTCAAAATAAAATAAAATATCATTGGATCATTTCATTTATAAATGAAAAAAAAAAAACATTTTTTGTTATAAAAATACATGTATAATTTTATTATACTTGTCCTATTTCGTGGAAGCAAGCAGATAACGGTAAATTCAATGCACGAGACCAATTGAAAATTATGTAAGGTTACTCGAGGACCTTACGTTCAAATAACAATTGCTTGTGTGAATATAATAATAATATTTATTTTTTTATTAATATTTTAACTAATCACTGTTCTTTATATAATACAAGCAATTAGACAGTCATCAATTTCTAACAACCTTTGTCAAGTTACGCACGTGATTTTCAATCTTTTAAAATTTAAATTTCAATGCTTATCCTTTCGATAATATCATATTTTTGTAGCGTAATTATTTCTACAAATAATAGAAAGCAAATAAAAATTACAATGATGCACGAGAACAAATGAAAATTATATATAATACAAATCAACTAGACAAACCACATTTTCTAAACAATTTTGTCAAGTCCACTTCTCGCACGTTTTTTTCAATTCCTTTTAAACATTTTCAATTTCAATGCTTATCTTTTCAATAATATTTGTTTAGCATAATTATTTATACAAGTTATGCTCATGAGTATTTCGCTATATGTTTGTTTACTTGTAAGTATGCAATTAGTATATATATATGTTAACGTAAGCTATATAAATTTGAAAATGTTTAGTACTCATTTGATATGATCCACTTATATTGTAATATATTATTTGTTTTTCTAATATAATAATGGCATTATTTAATCACTTATTCATAGATTAAATTTTTTTTTATCTAATTAGTAACGACCTAAAAAAATTATAATAATATTTTTGAAATTAAAGCGAATTTTTTTACATGATCAACATAAAATTTGTTTTATATATTCCTTTGGATTTTATCTTCTTTAAGATTTTTTTCTTAGTCATGACCACAATCACTATCTTTTTGGATATTTTTCAGTTATGGTGAGCAATAATGACACCATTGTTATGACCCGTTTATAATTATACACATTTCTTTCTTATTAGATTAGAGTATTTAGATATCTATTATGTCATTAAGATTAGTCTTTTATGTTTTATTATTTTATTAAAATTGAAGTCGTGATTATTTGTTGGAATCTCATCAATGTCTCAATTAGATTGTAGTTGAACATTGATTGATATTAAAATTCTTTTTATTTAATTATGAAATTAATTGTATAAATATTTAGCTATCAAATGCCTAAAGTGAGACCAAGACAAGATCACCACAAATGCAACCAGCGTCATGGCTACATCAATGACCACCTTGGAGAGGCATTCTAGTTTGAGATCATGGCGAAGGTTACAATCTCAAAGGTGGCATAGAGTGTGAGGTAGCATCCACATAAGACATTTCTAAAAGTGGTGTGGTTGGCAATGATAAGAATGTTTGTGAGGTATGAGAATGCAAGAAGGACACACATACCACTATGGTACACCTTAGGGCTATGCGAAACGCATACAAAATGTGGCATTTGCGTCAAGGTTGTAGAGTGTTTAACATAAATTTATGACTCTCACAATGACGTTGAAATTGTCATCGAAAGTCCAAAATATAAAATATAAAAACTTGTGCACTAGGATAAATATTATCTTCTTTTTTTCCTTTATATATAATATTAATATATACATTACAATAATAATTAAAATATTAAAAATTATTATTTAAACATTAAATGATATTTTAACATTATGTAGCTTGTTATTATTGGATATAATTATAACTTTCATTTAATATATATTTTTATTTCGCACAAATATCTTTTAATTTACCTAACAACAAACTATCATATGTTTCTCATACTCTCAAAGACATTCCTTGTAATTTCTCATGTAGTTATAAATGAATTTAGATCAAATTAGTGTAAAGAAGAAAATATCACTAGATACACTAATACAAAACAAACCAAAGAAGATGTCTTTTGACAATGATTATAATACAATCATTGTTGATTATGATATTATGACAATTTTAAAATTAATTCTAATTTTTCAATAATGGTTATCTCAAAAATGTCATGTGATCATATATACGAGATACAAATTATTAAATGAATGGTGTTTTAAAATGAAAGACAAACTATTATTTAACTTTATTACTTCATTTCTATATTGTCTCGCATTGCACAATTCATCTATTTTTTTTTTCTTTTCTTTGTCATCATTATCATTGTCTTCTTCTACCTATCTCCACCACAAGTTGCGACCCTCTCCTCTCCCTTGTGGTGCTCCCCATTTTCTCCTCTCCCTCTCTCTCTAAGTTGTGCCCTCCTCCTCTCCCTTTCTCCATCTGACATGCCCTCCTCTATGGTAAAGGTGGATCATAGTTGTTAAGTGTGGTTGTGGTGGATTGTGGGTGGTTACGATGGTGGTCTGCGGTTGCTTTTGGTACTCTCTTCCTTTAAAGTAAATACTTTGTAATATTGAGAATTCAAATATGAGTTTGAAGTTTCACATTGGGTAGAAATAAGAAAGTTGAATAACTTATAAATGACAAAGACTCATAATCTAATGTCTTAAGGTTTTGAGTTGAGAGTGGTGTTATATTCTCTTTATGTTTGGCTCATGACCCATTTGTGAGAATCTTCGTGTTGTTAGCTCTTTCGAAAATACCCAACATGTAATACTCTATAAACATATTTACGAATGTATTAATTGAACGAATTACAATTACCAAGGCAAACTTGGCAAATTGTATTGTTATATGATAAACATAGAATATACATAGAATATACGATTACAAATACCGTATCATGCCATGATTCTACATGATTATTTTTTTCCATATTTAGCTTGGCATGACAGCGATGCACATTAATTTCATATCTGTTAATAGACAAATTTAGGATACCGACTATAATGGTTAGCGTAATTATAGCCTAGAATGTTTCTGTATTTCATGTATATATTGTGCTATCATATTCAATACAAGACAGGGGTTTTCGGAAATATTTTTATCATGGTATCGGAGCGAACCAAACTCCGATATCCAACGACCGAGAACACGATCGTACTTCTAAAATGGCGAGAGAAAGGAGAGGCGGTGAAGAAAACACCATCGCCATACGATCTGAGTGCCAGTGATAATCCTGGAAATGTAATTACACAGGTACAATTACGAGGAGAGAATTACGAGGAATGGGCAAGGGCCGTGAAGATATCTCTGCGGGCTCGAAGGAAATGGGGTTTCATAGATGGAACTCATAAGGAACCTGAAGAAGACACATCTGAGATAGAAGATTGGTGGACAATTCAATCGATGCTTGTATCTTGGATACTAAACACTATAGAACCTAGTTTGTGTTCCACTGTTGCATACATGGAAAACGCAAAGGACCTATGGGATGACATCAAGGAACGATTCTCGATCGTGAACGGACCAAGAATCCAGCGAGCTAAAGTCAGAGTTGGCAGAATGCAAACAACAAGGAATGACTATGGTTTCCTATTATGGGAAGTTGAAAACGTTGTGGATGAACTGGCAAATTACGAGCAAATCCCACAGTGTAGATGTGGGGGATGCAATTGTAATATTATGACGCAACTTGAGAAACGAAGAGAAGAAGAAAAAATTCATCAGTTCTTGATGGGGCTAGATGATGAGGGCTATGGAACTGCACGGTCAAATGTTTTGGCAACAGATCCATTACCCTCGTTGAATCGGGTGTATGCCACCATGGTGCAAGAAGAAAGGGTGAGAACAATCACCAGGTCTAAAGAAGAGCGAGGAATGATCGTGGGAATGGCTATGCGAGCGGAAACCAGGAACAAGTTGCGCAATGAAGCGAAAGAAAAATCAGTTGTTTGCATGCAGTGTGGAAGGAAGGGACATGACAAAGGCAATTGCTTCGAAATCATTGGTTACCCGAATGGTGGGGAGAGAGACCACGAACCGATAGAAACGATGGAAAAAATCAACAAAGAACAGGAACCTTCCGAGGGAAAGGAGGAACGGCTCGCGTCAATATGGCGCACACTGGTGCAGATAACGTTGGTTCAACCGAAAAACCAGAAGTAGCAGGACTGAGTAATGAGCAATGGCAGATCTTGACAGCAATGTTGAATTCTCGCAAGGCAAATGAAACTGAAAAGATGACTGGTAAGAAAGCATGTGACTTGTGGATTATTGATAGTGGCGCCTCTAATCATATGACAGGAACACTAAAAAACTTGAGGGAGAGTCGAGCCTTGGAAGGGTGCCCGAGTGGGACTACCAAATGGTGAATTGGTGCTGGCAAACAAAGAAGGATCAGTTTTCCTTGATGGAGGACTCGAAACTTAAACATGTTCTATATGTTCCGAAATTGAATTGCAATTTGATTTCGGTCTCACAATTGACGAATGAAGTAAAATGTACAAGTACATTTTACTCGATAGATTTTGTGCAATGCAGGACCACACTTCGAGGATGCCGATTGGAGCGGGTGAACGAAAAGAGGGACTCTATTGGTATCGTGGTGTGAGTGGCATAAAGGCGTATCGGACCAATGCGGAAAATCAACTAGAGATTTGGCACAAGCGAATGGGACATCCCGCCTACCAGATTGTTAGAAAAATTCGCATCCGAACGAGCGTGAATAGAAATACGGATACAACTCGGGTGTGTGAAGTGTGTGAGAGATCAAAGCAATGTAGAAACACATTTCCTTTAAGTGATTTTCAAGCATCCAATATATTTGATTTAATACATTGTGATTTATGGGGTCCATATAGAACTCCCTCGTCTTGTGGTGCATCTTACTTTCTCACTTTGGTTGATGACTGTTCTCGAGTCGTGTGGATATATCTCTTGAATAAT